TTGTTATTCTTTTAGGAGACATTGAGAAGAAGCACAAACTTGAAGTAAGCCCAGTTTGTGACAGAGAGATGAACACCGTCGGCAACATTCAAATCGGTAAGAAGGGGTGTTTTTAATGGTGTGCATTCGAAGTAAAGTAAGAAAGGAAAATACAGCACTTGTAAAGAATGATTAAGACTCAAGCTTTTTTTATCCGTGTAAGCAGTTTCCACCGTATTCAACATTCTCCTAGCTCATATCTAATCTCAAACCCTTATTTGTGTCTGCCTCCCCTCTCCTCCCAGGCTTCATGACGTACGTGGTGGAGCCTCTGTTTGCAGAGTGGACCCGCTTCTCCGACACACGGCTGTCCCATACCATGATGGGCCACATGAGGCTGAACAAGGCCAGCTGGGGGGCCCTGCTGCGGGAACAGAGCTCCGTGGCGGCGGGGCCCAGCTCGCCCGGCACCGACCCAGAAGACGGTGCCGCTACCGGAGGAAGCAGCTCCAAAGAAATACCTCAGGGAAGCAGAGAATCCTGACACTCCTCGTGAGCCCCTTCACCTCGACCCCTGACCCCTGACCCCTGACCCCGGGGCCTGCAGCTCCACCTGATCCTAACTTTTTGTTTTGTTGCTTTTGCCTCTCATCTTGATAAACCACTGATTTTATTTAATTTATTTAATTTTTAATTCCTCTTTTTTGGCATAGAGCAATACATAGATACCTCATTTGGCTACTGCTGTATTTTTCTTTTATTTGCTTTGTTTTATTTATTTGTCCACTGTAGTTTTTGGCATTACTGACTGAACACACCACTTTGTTTGTTGGTGAACCTTTAGGGGAAAGCAGGATAAGAACTGAAGACTTTTTTTTTTTTTGTTCTGGTATTTTGAAGTGCCATTTGAAAACAAAGATTTGAAGAATGATCTGAAATGACTGAGACAACTGGAGTATTCTGACATGAGACCCTCCTAAGACTTTACATCAATGCCATGATGCATTTGTATTGAAGATTCTTCCTCATGTTGAAAAAATAAATTAAAATGTGACAAGCCCAGTCCTTTTGCTGCCTCTACGAAGACTGTTTACGCATCTCCTTGTTTGTTGTGACTTTCCCTTGAAGTGAATCACGTGGGCTCCACGGTTTGCCTTCGAAGCACAGATGTGAAGAACCACTCGTTTGAACTGTCATCCCACTGTTGAAGCCATGAGCAGAACCTTACTCAACCACACCAGATGCCATAAGTAACTCCACCTGTGTGCTACCATGTGTCCTTGCACTCCCGAATGAAATACGGTGGTGGATGTGCAGCGACCCGCGGAGGTGTTGTAGTCCTTCTCCACGTATCTTCCAGTGCTGGTTGAACTCGGGGGAGCGTCCCCAACCCCCCACACTGGAAATCAGATACTCACTGCACATGCATCTCACCTGGAACTCGCTCAGGGTCTCTTATCACGAAGGAGAGGGGGAGGAGGCGACTGCGGACGATGCAGGGTTGTGTTCCTGGCGAGGATCTACTGAAGGAGACCCTCCCTCTCCGCAGAATGTCTCTCTCAGCCACATGCAACCTAAAGGACTGCTCGATTGATGCCTTATAACTATGCACAAACTATGCTAAGTGACCAAACCAGCTCCATCAAGTGCATGGTGTGCTTGTCTTTTGAATGCACTGTCCAATCCCTTGCCTTTTTGTTGTGAGGAACAACTCCAGCTGTCCTTCTTTTTTGTACCGAAACAAAATGGTCGAGTGACTTTGAACATTCCACTTCTTCGTGTTTGGTTTGTCTACTCCGATTCTGTATAGTGGCACAAATCGTTGTTTGTGTTTTTTCGAAAGATAACAGGTGCTTTTCTTACTTTAGCTGATTTGTATTTTTGCTGTAAGTGCTGTAAGACTGTTGATAAAACTGTTTACAATTTGTTGCGACAGCCATTTTTTGGGAAGACTTTGGTGTCGAGCCAGATTTTGTAAAGGCTTTGCTGTATTGACCTTTTTGATACATGCCTGTTGCAGTTACGATTTGAATAATAAAACCTGTTGTTGACTAATGTTTTCTTTAAGTTTCACGCTGTTTTAACATGTCTAATACTGAAGTTTAAAGGTCGAGTAGGTAAGTTTGAGAAACCGGCTCGAGATACACTTTGTTATATTCCATGGAATGCTCTTAACATCCCGATAGCAATGAATATCTGAAGTGCTTTGACAAAAAATCCATTAAAAAAAATGTCATCTGTGGAAGCCGTAGGCGCTGTAGCGGCCATCCAATCATTTTAGCCGGGGCGGGCGGCTAAAATGATTGGATGGCCTACCTGCCTGTCAGCCTTCCATCTGTGCACAAACTTATCTCGTGCCCTCATTGGTCATGTGCGCGTTCGTGTGTGTTGGAGGAGGGGCTCTGTAAGGAAGTGGCAGATTTTTTCCGGTTGTGTATTTTCAAATTCTAGCGCACTCGAGCTGGTTTCTCAAATTACCTACCCCACCTTTAGCAGGGTATATTATGCTTTTTGAGTTCCTTCTCCTGTAGTGTTATTTTATTTGTGTATGTAAATGGTCTGCAAAGGCTAAAATCCCCGTGTCCCTCCGGGGGATGTTCTCTCTGATACACTCGTGTCTTCAAGTTGGGTTGCATTTATTCTTTGAACCTTACAATTTAAACCGAAGGCATTTGACTTTCAAGAGGTTAAAACTCAGCAATGAACACCAGAGAAAGTTAGGACAGAAAATAAACTTTATTATTTAGAGATTTGACAATTAAACAATTTGTATGGAAGACAACTCTTCTACAAAATCCTACTACTGACACACCCAGTCCACCTTCCCTTATTAAAAGGTAACACTAGTAGAGTCGACTTAAAGCAGCAACTACTCTTACATGATCGACTGAACGGAAACAAAGCAGTCAGTCAATTTGAACAAAATACTAAAAACCTCACGACCCTGAAGAATCTGCATCTTAACAGGCATGGAAATGTGATGATTACTGGCACCATTGGAATGATACATGAACAGTGGGTATCTTAGGACCCATGACTAAAACATATATAAATAGTGTTTCTTACCGAGATGAACCGAAGCATGTTTTGTGATAAAAGGAATCTCTTACTTCATCTTTTCTGTTGATGACCTAGACATTTCACAGTATCTGTTTCCCTCACTGTTTAAGCATCGTCTGTACACGACATAGAGTACATAGAAAGATATTTGGCAGAGAAAGGCAGAATCTCTCCGATCGCTGGAATGTCTTTGGTTCTTAATCACAGATCGCACTAAAGAGATCATTTCAACAGACAACGTACATAACTCACAGATAAAGTACAAACTCTTTTTTAAAAGTCACCAGGTATTAATACTGGAAAAAAATCAACCACATAATAACTTGTGTTATCTACTTAAACTACAACATAAATAAAAGAATCCCAATCATAAATTAGTCTATTATACATGTATACAGCACAAAGTTCCACGAGTAAGAAAGTGCTCAATTTCTCCTGTTGAAGAACTCAGCTTTACAAACCCCTTCGTAGAAAGGGGAACGCAAACATGACCAACTGTGATACGTGCACTTAAAGTGTTTTTAATATTATTCTGTAGTGTTGCTGCCACGATCACTCGGGCTGATATATTTTGAACACTAAACAATAAGACATTCAGTTAAAGTAAATCATGTTCTTAAAACAAAAAGCTAATAATATAAGTTATAAAAAGTGCAAAATCAGACGGTCAGGGTGACTATCGGACACAACGCTGCGAGATGACTGCTACTCAGAATCCCTTGCTCTTCCACAGAAACTGCCCTTATTTAAAAAGGTTTCGTAAGGCACTTTAAAGTGTCCGCAGCATATCTGCAGCTCCAGCTCAGATCAACTTCTTTTTGACAGTCGATTTCAACATGTGCTGTCCAAACTGTGGAAAGAGAAAGACAGAATAAAGTACATTCGATGTCAAATCAATGACGTGAAAACATAACCTGAAATTCCATCTTAAGAAAAGCGTTACTTATCCAAACATGTTTCAGTAAGAGTTGTTGTGCTCAGGATTAATAAAAGGCTGATTTTGAGGTGTCTGTAGTTTGAGATGACAGCGATTTAAGAGTAACGAAAAACGTCTACCTACAGGCATCAAAAAATGCTTCAACGCGTGCATGTCACTGAATGGGTGACGTAGAAGATTTTTAATCTCGCCGAACTGCATGTGGGGAGCAATGGCATGGCTTGGCAACTCACGAGCATCTATCGCATCAAAAGTTGAACAATGTTCAACTTTTGATGCCGATGCTTGGCATCCAGACCAATCAATCCCCGTATTATGCAAATCCGCCAGTGCAAGCGCAGCCAATCCAAACCGCGTCAAGCTGGGGAGCCAGAACCGCAAGTTCTTTCCTCATTATTCCAAATGAAATATTACGGTAGCAAAATCACCGGTTCTTTACGACCGGAACTATTTACCGGGAAATACAAACCGGGGAACCGCCTGGAGGGAGGTGGCAGCGACAGTGTGGTGAAACTGGTAGGTTTTTCGCCTGTTTGGGAGTTTTATATCCGTTTACTTCGTTTAAATTGTATGACTTTTATGTCGGGGGCGGGAGATTCGCATCGTATGTTTTGGCGCGTGTCGCAAAAACGCCAGCTTCAGACACGCCCAGCTCAGATTTTTAATGCTGTATGTCAGACGGGCCGTTACTTCTCTCACCAGAGAGCTCCGTTCGGCAGGTTTCCATCTGAATTGGGAAGCTTTGAAACTCCTGTTCTCCCTGCTCACTGTCGTTTCGATACCGGTGACAACTGTGCGTTTCAAGCTTCGGCGATGAGGAAGCGGCATCTAAGGCTCACTGGACTCTTTTGGCATCAACTTCCCCTGGGCGACTGTGGAAACACAGTTAGACAAAAAAAAGATACTCATTAATAATGTTGGGTTTAAAACAGTTTTTCATCAGTAGCAGTAGTGTTGTTTTGACCACTACTGTTTAGCTTGGATTAAACATGCATCCTCTTCAAAATCATTTCAAATCTGTTATGTATTCTCGTACCTTTTGGACGATCGTAACTTGCTTGCCGATGTCTTTTCAGGACGTCGAGCATGCTGGGGCTTCTGCTGGCCTCGAGTCCCAATATGTGTGATCCCTCTGTTCATCCCCTGCCGCTGCTTTATGCAATACAATGGCAAAATGTCCGCGTGGAGTTTGACAGAAATATGTTTCAATTTAAATAAGATGGCAAAGTTTGTTAACTGAAATAATACACAATGTTTAGCCTTCATAAGAAATACATTTTATTTTTTTCATTTTTGCTCGTTTGTGGTGGCCTATTTTGTTTTCAACCAAATATTGATGACATAAATGTTTATGCTCATAAAAGTATCACAGCAAAGATTGTCAATCACAAATGTAATTTAGATTAAAGTAAAAATATCTTCAAGAAAAAAAAAGTCCATCATCTGTCATCACCTTTCAAATAAAAAAATATAATTAAACATTATAGATGTCTCTGCAATGTGGTCTCTTGTCTTCCTTGTATTATTTTTCATGTCCACTAGATGGCGATCGGTAGGATTAAAGCACTGATATTCAGGATCTAGTCATCTTGAAACATCGTAATCTGGATCAGGCTGATCCTATCCTGAATTGCTTTGAACTCCAGGGACAAAATCTGTCCGACTTGTCTGATCCTGGATCACAAAAAATGGGATTTCAAAATCGGATCGGATCTGATTGAGATGAAAAATGTTGAACTCCTGGGCCCTGGAGACCACTATTATTTTAAGCAGATTTCATGGCAGTGATGCTAGCACAGCTGGAAACCTGCCCCTCTTAACTGCTATGAATGATCACATCGAATGAGTCACAAAAATCGTCAGCCAACGAGTCCTGGCCTGTGTCGGTGTCTCTTGAGGTGAGGTGTGAAAACTCTCCTCTGATGCCACACACTGATTTGTCCAGGTTCATTTTAATTGCTTTTGTCAGGTTGTGTGGTTTAGTTCAAATCAAAATGGTGATACAATATTACATAAATAAACCAAGTAACATCCATTATAACAATGAAATAGTAATTATGAACAGTTGTATTCGTACTATGTTACATTTAAACCATAGACTGTAAATGATTTAGACATATAATCCAGGTTTGGACAAAGAATATTTTTTCTCAGGTATGGGGAATTACTCAGCTAGAGTAAAAATCATAATTCAGCTATGATACCACTTCTACAATGATATTCACTTGCTACAGCACCGCTATAGTCACAAGTAGTTATAATGGTGTTAAACCCATGTTGTGATAGTGTCAGCATCCCCACTAAGGTGTTTAAACCTTATTTAATCTCACCAAATCTGACTACCCATAATGCAACGGTACTCACGTCTCCGGCTGCTGCAGGAAGCTCTTCATGGCTTTGATCTGCTGGAAGTGGCAGGACATGTCTGTGGCCAAAACCATCTCCACTACCAGCGTCCGCAGCTCTCTGGAGGATCGGATGAAAGGGAAACATCACAACAGCAAATGGACAGATAGCCAAACAATACCTTGAATTGTGTTTGCTAGTTCTCCTTGACGCGACATAGGACTCTTTACACTTATGATGAAACACCTTAAATGATGACACATCACCCTCAGGGGTTAGTTCTCACCTCCAGTCGTCTTTGGAAAGGTTAGTGAAGATGTTCATATCGTCTCCGGACTGCAGGAGTCGATAGGCGGCGCTGACGTGGTAGTTCTCCAGGACAGCTCGGTCATTGTACAACATGGCTGTGTCCGACCTGCAGAGCCCACACAGTTACTTACTGAAAGATGACCAGAGACCATGATGGCAAACGTACACACATCCTTTACTCAAGTAGAAGTACAGATACTCGTGTTTAAAAATAGAAGTACTGACTAAACTTCTTTGCTCAAGTAAAAGTAAAGCTTTTGAAATGTACTTCAGTAAAAAGTACCCATAACTAGCAGCTGTTTTAAAGAGTACCTAACCTCCCTTTTACTGAAGTACATTTCAAAAGCTTTACTTTTACTTGAGCAAAGAAGTTTANCCATCTACAATACAGTAACATTCACTCCTGGGGTTTGGGAAGTAGTGGAGTACAAATACTTTGTTACTGTACTTAAGTAGGCCTACATTTATCTGGTATCAGTACTTTACTCCACTATTTATTTTTATGAAGACTTTTTACTTTGACTTCTTACATGTTGAACACAAATACCTGTACTTTCTACTTCTTACATGTTGAACTCAAATACCTGTACTTTCTACTTCTTACATGTTGAACTCAAATACCTGTACTTTCTACTTCTTACATGTTGAACTCAAATACCTGTACTTTCTACTTCTTACATGTTGAACTCAAATACCTGTACTTTCTACTTCTCACATTTTCCAAACAGGCTGGTTCCTTTAGTCTGAATGTGTGTTTGGTGGCGTGATCATTATTATTTAGAGTCATTGCGTGCCTATTGATTTGAACACGATCCGTGTATCCATCATTTCCTGGTCTTCTCTAAAGAAGAGGGACCAATGAAAACGTTGTCATGTTGCCGTTGTTCAGCATGGAAACATTCATTAGCTAACAATGACATTATTGTTCTATTAATATAAAGGGAGGTCAGGTACTCTTTAAAACAGCTGCTAGTTATGGGTACTTTTTACTGAAGTACATTTCAAAGCCTCTTTACTTTGACTTGAGTAAAGAAGTTTAGTCAGTACTTCTATTTTTAAACACGAGTATCTGTACTTCTACTTGAGTAAAGGATGTGTGTACTTTTTGCCATCTCTGGAAATGTACCACACACACAGTGTATTTTCTCATGGAGGCTCGGTGACCTCTGCTCTGCTTCTGGATTCTGAACAAATGAGCAGTTTTTAATTAGACAGGAGCGTCAATGAAGGACCCCCGACAGGTGGGGGGAGCACAGGTGATAAAGACATGGCTGGAGGATACATTCAACCTCATCTGTGCTCTCCACTGAGTCCCAAGGCGCCAATTAGCGAGGGTAGATATTTAGCAAAATGCATATGAATATGAAATGTGTTTTTAGGGGGCAGTAAACCCACTATCTCATTTTCAGCTTCACATTTTCTTCCTGGTAATTCCTTGGAACTCGACTATAGTTAGAAAAAGAAATGTTTTTATATGAACTCAAGATGAATNGTGGACGGTCTGTTTGTGGAGTTTTATTTTGTTGTCTAACTTGTACTGTTTCGTTATTTTATTTTTGCTGCCGTTAATAAAGTATTTTTTAAGCTCAAGCCAACCGACTAGGCTAGTGTTTTTTGAGAGGACAATTGAACCCCGTCACAACAGGTATTTGGGTTCAAAATGTAAGAAGTATAAATTACAGGTATTTGTGTTCAAAATTTAAGAAGTAAAAGTGAAAAGTCGTCATAAAAATAAGTAGTGGAGTAAAGTACTGATACCAGATAAATGTAGGCCTAATTAAGTACAGTAACAAAGTTTTTGTACTCCACTACTTCCCACCTCTGCCAGAGACACAAATGATGCTGGGTGGAAGTTACCTGGTCTGAATATGGAAGTTATTGGTGGTCCCTGTGTGTTCAAAGTCATGGATGGCTGCTGCAAAAATGATGGCGAAGATCTCCAACTCAGTTAACCAGTGCTGAGAGAGAGAAACAGAGATTAGAGATGATATACTTTCTCAAGTGACGGAGGGAAGGACTTTTTGTTTTGAGTATTGAAAAGCTCTCTCTGCATCCCCTTCTTTAAAAAGTTTGCCTCAACACTCACCACCATGCCAGTCTTGAGCAGCAGGTAGTGGATGGTCTGTGTTACATCAGCTGCATGCATCAGGTTGTGGTAAGGATTCTTGTATTTGCTGTAGCCCATCTCCAACGAGTCCACGAACGACATGAGGGCTGAAATAGGGACCTGCAAGAGAGGAGACGCAACAATAAAACATGACATTTGAACCACGTATGAGTAAATAAACTAGAAAGATCACACGGAATCACCTATCTGTAGAATCTTAACTGTGCATTCATACCTTGAAACGATTGATCAGGTCGTATCTGGTGAGCAGCTCGTAGAAGACGAACTTCAGAGCGTGGTCTCCACTCGCCTCGTTCAGCGCAAACACATCGAAGGACCACATGTCCACGTGCTGGAGCAGATACACTTATTTAACGTATGTAGGTTAATGTTGTCCTTCACCTGCACAATCTATGACCATCCTTTCACCATAAACAAAAACATACATAAACTCATGAATACCTTGATCACACTGATGACGTTTGAGGGATAACTAAGACCAGCCAAGTTGGAGGTTCGTCGGTACATCCTGCCACACAGATATGACACATCGTCAAACACACTGACTAGTTGGCATTACTACTTATTCTGGTTCTGTTTTATTCAATCAAATGATTTCCTATCTCTGAAACATCCAAAAATGATTTAGAATTGGCAAAATAGATCAACCAAAATGCTTCCAATACCAAAATCCTGTCTAGTGTTCTATTCCCAGAGAAGTTATAATAAAAGTAAACCAATCAGACCTCTCCACAAAGATGCCGGCCTGCACTGCGTGGACGATGCTTCTGAAGCGCGGCTTGTCTTCGTTGCGGCGCAGCATCAGGCCTCTCTGCCGGGTGAAGGTGGAGGCCAGCCAGTCCCGGACCTCTGAAGGCACCGTGTCCGACTGGATGTCACTCAGCTCGTCCTCCCGGTCCACCATCCGCCTGCACGGAGACACACAAAGGGCAATGACTCATGCAATGTACAATTATTTGCAGGTTGCTTAAAAAGCTATCATTTTACTTGATGATTTATCCAACTTTTTCTGCAGAGTGTAATTCAAAGCTGACTTCCATCGATTCAACGTTCTCTTCGTATGTAGAAAACTGCTATACAATAGGCACATTTGTAATGAATGCAGCAAGATTAAGATTCAAAGTTGAGCTCACAGTATGTTTGGAGTCTAAGTGGTTAGTGTGTTGCTGGGCAACTGACACAGAAAGACTTGTTTTTGTACCTTTTTCAACAGTGTGAAGGATGTTGTTTTTGTACACGTTACAACTTCCATGGACCCTCTGAACTTTGCCTAAAAGTACTTTAAATCATCCTGGAGTCATGAGTTATATTAATACTGAAAGGCTGAGCTGCTTGGATCTCGATGGTTTGTGTTAAAAGGTCTTGATATCTCCTCATCTAAGACACATACAACATATGTTGGGTCATCATTATGGACCATGCAGCACAACGACTACTTGGAAACTTTAGGTGCTCATATTTCTTTCGGGGGTTTACTTGTAATAAATAATTTGTACAGAGTTTGTTTTGCTGCATTTACTTATATAATGAAGGTAAACAATCAGAATACTCCTTCCCAAACTGCTGAAAAGTCTAAGTTTCGACCAATCATAATCAGTCTTAGCGACATTCAAGAGAAGAATGTCAAAATGAGGTACTTTGTTTGACATGCAGTTAATGTTTTCGTATGGTTTCTTGCCTTGTTTCTTCAATGTAAAGCGATTCTAGGACTGAGGCAGCGTTCTCCAGGTTCTTCTTCAGGTCGGGCACAGAAGCCTCGCCCCTCTCCAGCTGCTTCACAAGACATCTCAACCTGCAACACACACCGTCACACCCTCAGCAACACACCTTTATATAAACAATGCCACATGCTTTAACTTGAGTTCCTAAAACCAGAAACCTTTCACGATAATCCGTTTTACCATAACATCGCTGAATACACTCTTCTGTTCTCCCTTCTGAAACTAGCCATTGTTTTCACTCTTAAATTAAAAGGCCTTTAAAATGGTAATATCTCCTCTAGGAACTAATTTCTAAAATGCATCTAGAGGCCACTTCTCACAAATAATTTAAACATATTTGTCGAGAGAATGTGTGCATCTTGAGAGAATCTCAGTGGTTTTGATGATAAAACAGTAAAATCACATAGAAGTTGTGACCTGATAGCAGTCCTCTCCATGGCGTCGGCAGAGTCAGGGACAGGCAGCTCGTCGGCCAGGATCTCCTCAGAGCTGCGCGGGTCGATCCCGATTCCTTTGGGTTCAGTGGAGCCGGCTTTGACAGCAGTGCAGAGTGCATTCTGGGACCATGAGCCTGAACAGTTTTCATACAATCACTGATAATATATCTACAAATATATTACACAATCCAGGACCATAACTTGAAATAGAAAGGGGACATTTCTGGTGAACTCACGTGCAAAGCGAGCCAGTGGATGGCGGGTGTTTTTTTCCGATCCCTCGTTAGCAACTGGAAAGACAAGAGACATTCTTTCATTTTAAATTCTCATTTGTTCTTTAAGTATGGTGTTTAAAAACCACAGCAATAATGAATTAAGTCATTAAAATACGCATAATAAAAATACAGTGTAAGTAAACATGTAAATACGTAATAACAGGATAAATATAGAATGATCCAGGAGGACACCTGCCACTCCAACCAGAAAAGGCAAATATAGCAGGATGTGTGTGTGTGTGTGTGTGTGTGTGTGTGTGTGTGTGTGTGG